TGGCTATGTAAGGTAGTTAAACTGAGTATGCAGTGTTGTGGAAAACTTCTTTCGGATTTAATAAAATTTTTTTAAAGATCTGTAAATCCTGAGTTTGAGCGCAAATTCGACGTTCAAAACTTCTACTTTGGGGGTGGATACGATTTCAGAATCGGTTTTTTTTAAATTACTAAATAACGACGACGAAAAATAAAGTAAAAATCATACAGAAATCTAATTAGATGGTTGGGAACATATTTCTCAAAAGAAATTTGTCAATAAATCAATGCTAGAACCAATTATTTCGTTTTCATCATTATATTGAATTTCTTATTTTCTTTGAATTTGTAATTTGTAAATAATGAGAACTAGAATAATGAGAAAATAGAAACTAATAATTGAACAAGATTACTTATTTTCTTTGATAAGATTAATTTTTATTTTCTCAACCGGTTCCGAAACAACTTATTAGTTTACTGTAGAGTTTTTTAAACATTTTTTGTCGTCGTTATTTAATAATTGGAAAAAAACGTATCCACCCCCAAAGCAGGAGTTTTGAACGTCGAATTTGCGCTCAAACTCAGTATTTACAGATCTCTAAAAAGTTTTATATGTCTCAAATGAATCCGAAAGAAGTTTTCCACAACACTGCATACTCAGTTCAACTACCTTACATAGCCGGTCACTCCCTTTAATCCTTTCTGTTGAATATCCCTGATGAATTCGGACCAATGAGAGTTCTCTCATTGATTGCGCGGCAAATATCAACGTGAGATTAAATAAGTCTGCAGATTAATAGAAAGATGAGATCAAGCATTAACCTGGATGTTCAGCTCTGTAATATAATCTTAACTACATCACCAAAACATCTGGTTCGTTTCAAGTACAGGCCCGACTCCAGAGCAAGTTGTTTCACATGCAAAAAAAACGCAAATTGCGAACTGCAACTCAGCATGAATTGAACTGCAGCTGTTTTCAAAATAGTTTTAAAAACATAGAATTTCGGGATGATTGTCTTGGTCTTTCTTTAACTTTAAAAAAGCGAAAGTACGAAATGCAAAAATATTTTCGCGAAATGCGCAAGAAAATTTTGTGAAAACCAGTTTTATAGCTGCAACAATTAATTCCTCAAAATAGCTTGTGGAATTCTCTGCTCTGATAGCTTAGTATTTGAAGTTTTATTATGTCTTACAATAATTTCTCTTCCCTTACTTTAATAAATCTTGCATTTGGTTTTAAAAGTTCTGTATTTTTCGCGCAATTTTTTTTTTTGTTGCATAGTTTCCATTTTTTCGCGAAATTTTTGCACTTTTTCACGAAATTTTTGCATTATTTTTTTTTCATGAAATTTTGCATAATTTTTTCACGAAATTTTCGCATTATTTTTTTTCTCGCAAAATTTCTTTTTTTCGCGAAATTTTGCATTATTTTCTTGCGAATTTTTGTTTTTTTCGCGAAACAGGTTGAAGCGACGAAAATTTTCGCATTTTCGCGAGCGAACGAAATGTGAAAATGAAGCGAAATGATCGCGAAAAAAAATTGCGAAAATGCGAAATTTTCTCAAAACGAAACGCTGGAAATCCTACTGCTGATATATCTCTTAAATATTCAGGGCACGTATAAAGAAATAGTTTGCCGTTGAAAAATTAAAAATCCTCATCGATATTTTATGGTTTAAAGAAGCGAAATCCACTATTTTCTTGTCTCATTGTACAATTTACTCAAATTTTAAACATTTATTTTGAGTTATTTCTGAAAAAAATATAATTCATTTAAAGAAAATGTCCGACAAACAGAAAAAAATAAGGAAGGTTGTTTTTGAGCTTCTATAGATTTAATAAAGGAAATTCTGACAACAACAGAAAAGTTTCTAGCCCTGAAAGTTGAATTTATATTTATTAATTTATTAATCTATTTTATATAGCATTGTAAGAACGTGAAGGGGGGTCGTTATTTGGAATTTTAGATAGGCTAATTGGTTCGTCGGTTATAGTAGGTTAGTTGGTTAGGTTGGTTCGTTGATTAGGCTCCTCAACTCGGACACAGTAGTCTCCAATAATCATTAGGAACATCCCACAGGTGGAGTAATTAGTGCCCTCAGTGATTTGCAGCATCCCTCCGGTGGAGTAATTAGTGCCCAGGGTGAATTGCAGCCTCCCTTGGGTGGAATAATTAGTGTCTTGAGCTGTTAGCAGAATTCCTTCATAGAAGTATTAAGTGCCCAGGGTGGTTATCAGCATCCCTCCTGTGGAGTAATAAGTGTCATGAGTGGTTATCAGCATCCCTCCTGTGGAGTCATTAGTATCCTAAGTGGTTAACAGCATCCCTCCTGTGAAGTAATTAGTATCCTGAGTGGTTATCAGCATCCCTTCTGTGGAGTAATTAGTATCCTAAGTGGTTAACAGCATCCCTCCTGTGGAGTAATTAGTATCCTAAGTGGTTAACAGTATTTCTCCAGTGGAGTAATTAGTATCCTAAGTGGTTAACAGCATCCCTCCTGTGGAGTAATTAGTATCCTAAGTGGTCAACAGCATCTCTCCTGTGGAGTAATTAGTATCCTAAGTGGTTAACAGCATCCCTCCTGTGGAGTAATTAGTATCCTAAGTGGTTAACAGCATCCCTCCTGTGGAGTAATAAGTGTCCTGAGTGTTAATTACCATCCCTTCGGTAAAATCTGTATTTCCTCCGGTAGAAATAAGTTCCCTCCGTTGGCCTCGGGTCCACCGGAGGAAATGACAAATGCTACTATTTTCTTCCAGAACTCATAAATTGACCAGTACTACTTTTAATTTTAAGAAACTGTTTACGTTCTTTTGAAATTACCCTATTCCTGACCATGTACATCGTTACTGCGATTCACAACGATACACTTTAAACCTAGTCATCTTAGCAAAAATAAAATAATATAATTGCATTGAAAAAAATTGTTTTGGCCTTGAATGTCCTTATTTTTTTCGTAATGTAATTATAAATGATTTCTGTTAATTTACTTTTTTCTCAAAACCAAATATACTTTATGAATGAACTCATTATTTTTCTATTCCAAAAATTGTATTATTAGTGAAAGCATTAATGATTTATTAAATATTTTTTGGAAACGATCTTTAAAGAGAAATGTTTATAATGAGTATTCACCAAATCCATTTGAATGCTTTTCACGCAAAAACTACTCTGTTTAGAATGAAGCTAGAAACAAATGAATATTGTAGTACATGTCTATGACTACAAAAATGCTGCCACCTGTTATTCTATTGTATATATATTCTGAGTGTAAAACCAACGGCACTGCGATTTAGAGGTTGCAAACTCTCACGCCAAAATCGATGAGAATTTTGAGAATTATTTTTTAAATACTAAAAAAAAGTGCTTTAAAGCTTTAAATATACATGTTTAGGGCTACAAAAAGTATAAGTGAATTAGAGGAGTGAAACGATTTGAGACATTTCAAAGTCGACCATATATATCTAAAAAATGTATGGAACATTTTATAGCAGTCTGAATTTATGAATAGCTACACTTAAAAATCTACCCAGTCTAAAGCATTATTGTCTAATTGTCATGTGTCATAGCTCCCATGATATCGTTGGTTGCATATCTTCAAGTTTAAATTTTTTTAATTTGGGCTAAATAGAATTTAAAGTTCGCCAATTAAACTTTGGACAGTTTCGCACATTTTTCATTTTTCTCTAGACAATCTCACTCACTTTCATTACAAAGTTCAAAGATAAAAGTAATCCTAATTCCGTGGTTAAACAACATATCCAAATTTAATTAAATAAAAAATTTTGGCAAAAAATTGTTGTTGTACTCACTTTACATGGGCAAATTGTCCGTGATATTGCAAAAAAGTTTGTTTTGTTTTTCGTTTAAAACCTATAATTCGTTTTAAATTTTTTCTAACCGAATTTTTCAATCGTTTTTCTTTTTGAAAAATACAAACGATCTTTTTGTTTTGCAGTCGTTTCGTTTTGAAGCAAAATTATCTCCAAGATTAACACTCAAAACGAAAAATGATTGTTTTAAAAGACAAAATTGCAAAACAAAGCTTATCCGTACATTCTTGTTGTTTTTTTTTCGCAAATTATTATTGTGATAAAACTTTTGGAACAGTTTTAAAGGTCATTGATTAATATTTCTTATTTTAATATTTCTTGAACTAAAATGTTGCTTAGTTGAGTCAAAAATTTGAAATTCAATTTCTAGATTTTAGAATAAATTTAATTTATAATCTAAGAAAATATATTTTTTTTAAACCTTTTATTCAAATGGTAACACGGAATTTTATAAAATCATATTAGCATTACTGGAGAACTTGTTTATATTTTTTAGAAATTTTTTTGTTAAATAAAACTATACCTTTCATTTTCATAAAATAGTTTTTTTTAAGAGAAACGCAATTTTATGCAACCATTCATTTATTTTGTCAGTACATAATAAAATCTGGGGGACCTTGAATAGAGAGCAGTACAAATGTACATATTAATTTAGTTAGTTGTATAGTGTCTAGGGTATGTTAAAAACATAAAAAAATAATGAAAATGATAATGATAAGCTACAATGTTTTACAAAAACGTTTAATTTCTCAAAAATATAAAAATGTTCTCCCGGAAAATACGCCTTGCAGTTGCTATACCTAGCGATTTCCATCCGTTGGATTTCTATAATGTTTGACGCTAGCAAGATTTCTTGAAAAATAAAGCTATTCACAAGTTACAACTGCTTAAAAAGTGAGTCTAAATCAAATGCCAAGGCGTTGCGACACTTTAAAGCCGGCCTTGTCTTGAAAATCGATTTATGTGCACTGCTTTTATATCTTATGTTTTAGTTGCTGAGCTTTCTGTAAGCTTTTTGTATTCGTACATTTAAAAATTATGACAACACCAAAATTGTACAGATATATTTGTTTTAATAAAAAAAATGTAAATTGGGCCTGATCGGATTTTGGTTGGTTTTTGGATAAAAATAAACAGACAAATCAAAAATGTAAAAGATTTATTTATGCAGATTTTATTTTAGAGAAGATGATTCAAATTTCTGATGAGTTGAACTTCTCAGACGAGTTAAACTTCAGTGATGCGTTTAACTTAGAAGCATTTAATTTGACAAATTGTGGAAGTATTCCTGATCTAGAATCAATAGAGGTAAACCTGGAAAACATTTTTCAATTTCCCACATTTTTACTCTAAATTCTGGACAAAAAAAGTTTTTTTTGAAAATACGAATTATGGAACTAATTGATTGCAATCCGTATATCATTGCAACCCAATGCGTAAACCTTTGATAGTTCAAGCTTTGAATATTTGATCAAGCAGAATTCATGTATCACAAAAATAAGACATTAGGTAGCAAAGATATAAGGATTAGAAAACTAGATTACGAGAGAAATCAGTTTTTTATATCCAGCCATGTTTTGGAAAAGGGAAAAAGGAAATGATTTTTGATGATATTTGAAAATGGAAAATTGGACAACAAAAGTAAATTGCTTTAACCTTTTTTTATATTTTTACTCAAGAATTTATTATTTTTAATGAAAATCAAATATTTTCCCAAATTTTGAAAATAAAACAAAAAAAAAAAAAATTGGCCGCTTCGTGCAAACAAACACTGTTTTAGTTCTAAAAGTCTAAGTATGAGTGTACTGTGTACTGTGCACAGTACACAGTACACTAATATTTGTTTCTGTTTTAGTTCTAAAAGTCCAAGTATGAGTGTACTGTGTACTGTCCACAGGACACCTTATTTTGATGGTTTTCTTCCAAGCAATTAGTTTTTGTAAAAACATAGAATTAATATATCTTCATCGTCCAGTTGATGAAATAGTCTTGATGTTTTCCTTAACGAAGGCAGTATCAAAAAGATTTAAAATTTATCAACAAAGCTCTTTTCAGATTTTTAATTTGAATTAAACGTTCATCTGATGAGATATATTTAAATAGATTCAATCAATAAATAAATAATAAAAATAAATGAAATAAATAAAAAATAATTTTTAAAAAAATAAATAATGCGTACTATTTCATCCGATGAGAGATATTTAAATAGATTCAATCAATAAATAAATAATAAAAATAAATGAAATAAATAAAAAATAAATTTTAAAAAAAAATGAACTATTCTACTTTCTCAGTAAGATTATTTTCAGATTTTAACTTTGAATCAATTGAACTTTCATCAGATAGAGAAAGGAATTGAGTTTTTGCCACAAACTCTGATTTTCTAATTTCAATTTCATTGCAACCCAATGTCTTAGACCTTAAATATTTCAAACTATGAATGCGTTTAGATCAAATAATGTAAGTTTGAAATATCTTAGGTTTACATCATCAGGTTGCAAAGATATAAGGATTACAAAAATTGAATTTGTGGCAAAGACTCAATTCCTTTACATAGATTTAATCAATAAATCATGACTCAGTTACCCTATTGCATCTTTAATTTTTTTTCATCCCCTTCTTTTCCTTAAACCCCACACTTTTAGGGGGTCGTTCTCTGAAGGGGAGGGGGGAGGGTATAAGGGGGGAGGGTGAGGATGACTTGTTTCCACAAATAAAATTAACTTTCTAGGCAACAATTGTTTTAAATTCATTACAAAAATCGAGGATTTTTATATTTATTTCTAAAATCATAATATCAGGTTGTATGGTATAGGGAAAAATATTAAACTCATTTCATTTAAAGTAACTGTTATTTTGTGACCCTCCAAGCAAAGATGTCTGACTTGAAAAGTCTTTAATTCTGATAATTTCTTCATTGTTTATAAATCAAAAATCCACAATTCTCTTTTAAGTCGAGAAACCACGAATAAAAATAAAAAATTTGAAAAAAAATTGGAAATCTAATTTTAACTATAATCTCTTAAAGTTTCCATTGTAAATCGGATATGATATTCTATCCCTGAGGGTTGCTTGAAATTAGGTTTACAATCCCAATAAGAACTGAACTTATAACCAATATTTTTTCAAACTAATTAAAAAGAAAAACTTAGTTAATCCAACTTTTCACTTTTGATTAGCAAAGTCAAAAATTAATTTATTCATAAAGTTTAACAACAACAAAAATCTAAAATAAAGTGCTTTAGGGAGATTACCATCATAGAAAACCTTCAATAATAGAAATTAGGGTTTTGTCACAATTTCTTACTTCTTCAAGAAAGAGAAAAGAAACTGAGTTCTTGCCACAAACTCTATTGTTAAACCCCGCTGTCTCTACCCAATGTTCTAGATCTTGTCTAATGCAAGCTGTCAATTTTGTTTGTTCTAATAGTCCAAGCTTAAACAAATATCTAAGGTTTAGACCATCAGGTTGTACAGATTTAGGGATTCCATTTGGATTCATAAGGGGATCGTGGATAGTAATTGTGGCTCAATCCTTATAAAGGGGTATTTGACAACCCCCCCCCCATTATCTTTCAGATTCAAACATTTATAAAATTGTAGATTTTCTACAATAAATTAATAAAAGTAAAGATTTTTAGTATTGATATAAAAGTGTAAATTTTATACAATAAGTTAATAAAAGTGTAGATTTTATACATTAAAGTGTCGATTTCATACAAGAAATTAATAAAAGTGTAGATTTCATACAACAAATTGATAAACGTGTAGATTTTCTACAATAAATTGATAAAAGTGTAGATATTCTACAATAAATTGATTAAAGTGTAGATTTCCCACAATAAATTTATAAAAGTGTAGATTTCTACAATAAATTGATAAAATCGTTGAATTTTAGAGAACCAAGTGGATTTTCTCCGAAACCACAACTCTAGTTACAGCTACAATTGGTTTACTGGGCAACTCTTTATCCATCTGTATTTTACTAAGGTAATACATACAGGGTGTCCCAGGAAACATGAAAGTTTGACAAAATCCGATCTAAAGGTTGTCTTTGAAAGGTTTACAGAAATAGTTCATAAATTTTTTCATTGAAATTAAATTGATACTCACAAGTTGTTAAATGTTGTCATCAATAGATAGTTTTCAAATATTAAATTTGATTTTCAAGTTAATTCTCCATTTTAATGTTTACCGAGACACCCTGTACTAGCCGACCAAACGAGATCAGCTAGAAAACATTTAAAAACGTAGAATCCGAGTCTACATTTTAGTTTTGATCTTTAAATAGTATTTTAAAAGGGGACTTGTCCAAAAACAGCTAATTAGATAATTATATTTTACCTTTACGTCTCAGATTATAAAATACATATACAGTTGACAAAGTTTTTATTTCATAAAAACATGTTTTCGTTGTATTCTAAAAAAATTTACCTTAACATTTTTAATATTTTATCAAAGGTTCTGTACTAAATGAAACTGTCAACTCACGAAATTAATCCAAAAATAGTTTCAAACAAAAATAAACGTACGAAGCGCTACTAAAGTGATTTTCAAAATAAAACTACTAAATTCAATTTTTGGTTGAAATGGTACAAATAGTAAATATTAAAGTTTGAGTTCCCGGCTTATATTTTTAGACTGAATTTACTTCTGCTTTTCAAAACTTTCTAAAGATTAGAATTTGATGTTGAATCAGGTTTTTTATCTTGAAATGAAACGAGAAGAATTGCAAGAATATTTTAAATATAAAAGAAGAGGTTGCAAGAATATTTTAAATATACCCGGTCAGGTAAGGGTTGGGTTGTCCATGCAAAGGTATTAAAGGGACTGTAAGAGTAATTTCAAGTAACCCTTGCGGCAAAGAAAACATGATTCACAAACATATTCTTGAAACATTTATCTGATCAATAATTTGGAAGATATTGTCGTTTTTCAAGGTAATTAATTCAGTTAATTCCTGTTTTCTTGCATTCAAAATTGCGCAAGTAACTTTTTTTAAAAGTCCCAATTAAAAATAATAAGTTTTAAAAATTAAAAACCTTGATACCTAAAATGTACTTCATCAAACTAAGCTTTTATCGTTTTGTGAATCAAATATTTTGCCATCGGAGAATTAATTGAAATTACGCTTACAGTCCCTTTAAAGGAGTAAGATTTCCCGTTTGGGAAATGTAAAACTTGCTCTTCAGGGAAAACATAAAAAACAATTCCTTAAAATTTCAGAAAATTTATTCCAACCTTTTTTTTACCTAGCTTATATCTGGCATAGGAAAGAAAACGTAATTTTAAGTGACCATTCATTTAAAGAAGGGAGTGTTCGCGAAAAATGAAAGGGGGTAAAAATTATCGATTGCTACTAATCTTACTTCTATCTGATGCGTCTATAAGGAGAAAATTGTTAAAAACGACTGATACCGAAGAACTATCGTTCGTGTAAATTCAGAAAGTTGGAACATTTGACTCGGATCAAATTTAATTCCAAACAAATTATTCAGATATTACAACCTAAAATCATCGATAATTTTCCTATATAGTTGATATTTCATTAAATATTTTTTTACTTGTTTAATGTACGATGTACTTTGAATGATAATTTTTTTGTGTCTCTAGGTGTTTTTGGATTCTACGTGGAACTCCAGAAGCATCGAGAGTAGAGACATCTAGTGGCCAAATAAACGTCCTTTAAAGTATATTGTAAATGAAACAAGTAAAAAATATTATGAAATATCACTTTATACGAATATTACAGGTTGTAAATGATTTGTTTGGAACTAAATTAAATTTGATCCGAGTCGAATGTTGCAACTCTATTCAACTATTTAACTATTTAACCTCTATTCAAAATCTGTTATTCCATTTTTTTAATCCAATATAAAATTTATCTTTAAGGATTGTTATTTTTCCTAAAAATAATCAATTTCACAAAATATAATGTTATTCTGCATAAAAATTATTTTGAAAAAAACGGTTAATTTACTAAAACACACTGTAAAAAATCAATAAATTTATGAATCAGAGAAGCAAAAAATTTAATATTTTAGTTGGAATTTTTATAATATTTTTAAAGGCTTCAGATTTCTAAAATTCAGTACTTCATGATTTATCCCTCAATTTCTAAAGAAATTGAAAACTTGCCTAAAGATCCTTTCTTCAAGTTTAAATATCTTATCAACCCGGTGACGTAGACCTTTGGCATTTCAAAAATTAATTAAAATTAGGAGTTTGAAATATCAGAAATTTACAGTCTACACACTATCAGGTTTTAAACTTAATTTGAGTCGAGTGTTCAGTGCTCAGAACTTTTTTGTGGAGTATTGTTGCTCTTAAACACTTGATCTCGAAATCCATTGTGAGAACTTAATTTTAGAATAAATGCTTGATCCCTTACTTTCCGTCATCCCTGCAGGGTCGATTACCACGTGATATCAAAGAGGAATTATTTATTTTATAAATCCGTTGTAGGTCTTCAGAAGGTGGAGATCAATGAATTTACAAAATAAAAGTTTGACTATTCAGAGTCAGATTATTGTTTTCAAGAAGGAATAATAAACAAAATAAACGTGGACTTATATATTTGATGGTAATGGACTCATAAAAGATTCAGAAAAAAGAGAATTATTAATCTAGTTTTGATTTGATTGTGCAAATAAAAAGCAAAGGGTATATAGCAAAGTATTTATAAAAGGTTAAATAATAACTGTTTTAAGGGTAAAGGAGAATATTTTTTATGAAACTATTGTGTACTTTATCATTCTTACTCACTTTATCGTGAATTTCATAATGTACTTGCTATAAAGTAATCATCGGGCTATAAAGTTAAATTTCCTGGATTTTCTAAAAAAAATTTAGGTATTTCTAAAATATTTTTTTCAGCTGAAATGAAAATTGAAATCAACTTTATAATTTGACTTCTGATTTGTTTCAAAGCTTATTTGATTTAAAAGAGCCATTGAAATAAGGCAAGGCTTCCTTTATCACTTTTCAGCTTTTACCTGACTTAATTTATACCCTGAAGGTTGTCCATTATAAATTGAGACTTTTTAAACAACTTATAAAATAGCAAATCCACCAATATGAAAAATCTGGGAACATAAATGCATTATTTTGAAGAATATTTATCACTATATTTTAGTGCGCTTCGCACCCATCTTCTGTTTCAGTTGTTAAAAATTTTTCTTTGAATACAATGTAAAACAAAACAAAAAACAAAAGTTTTCGAATTTTATAACAAAGTTTATGGATTTTCAAAATTATCAAAAATCGAATTTTGCTATAGAAGTAAATTTTTGAAAATTCAATTATACATAAACCTTCCCTTCCCTGGGGTCACGTAAGGTCCAACAAAAATTTGGGCCCGATTGGTTTATTCGTTTTGACGTTTATTGGACACAAACAAACAAACAGACAAGGAAAGTATATATTCATCAAAGAAAAGATTAAGGACATGAAAGAGGAGTGGATGAAAATGCTTTTTGGTAGGTTCTACATCAAAAACTCCTGTGCCAATTATAATTCATATTTAAGGGCCTTATACTGGAAAAAATATTTGCATACATGCATAATGCACGGAGACTGCTTTTAGAGATATTGTTTCATCCAATCACCCAGTGTAAATTTAAAACTGATGAGTGAGAGCTTTTTTTCTAAAGTCTCTAGTGGACACCTTTATGATATATTCACTAATTACATTGAGTGACTACATTTATTCTGTAAAAAAACTGGATTTATTTCAAACATTGTACATCATATATTCTACATATAAGTATATTTGTTAATTTCACAATGATAAAAGAGAAATGTCTTACTTTTTGAAATTTTATTCTTAATAATCTTGATATTTCAACATTTTATTTTGCCCCCCCCCCCCCTGCATTAAAAATTCGATTTTCGGATAAAATTTAAAAATTGAGTAAAATTATTTGCACGAAGCGGCAAAAAAATTTTCTACATTTTTCCTCATAATGGTGGTTATCATGGACATGGAGAATGGAGATCAAGTTTATAAACGGAGATGTTTATATCCCCAAGATCCTATGGGGGTCCCCTAAGATCCTAGGGGGGGCCCCTAAGATTCTAGGGCGGGGTACCTCAAGGATTCTAGGGGGGGGGGTAACTAACCCCAATAACCCTCCTTTGTTACGCCTTTGCCCACGGGTCCTATCGGTCTCAGGGATTTAGACGTTTGCTAAACCAAACCATCCAAAAAAATAGATTAAACCAAAGACTTTGCAAAGTCTTTGGTTTAAACATACAAACACTTTAATAACAATATATAGTGAAATTACAAATTTAAACTGTGCACCAACATGGAGAGTTACTTATTTAGTTGCATAAAAGGATTAAACATACAAACACTTTAATAACAATGTCAAATATATAGTGAAATTACAAATTCAAACTGTGCACCAACTTGACATGTAGAGTTACTTACTTAGTTCCATAAAAGGATTTAACACTAATTTCAATTTTAATGAAAAATGAGTTTTGTTTAAAAAATGAAAATGTAATAATAGTATTGGTTTTATTAATGAATTAACACTTTATACTTTTGCAGAACAAAACAATTTTTCAAAATGGCTTTTAAGTAAATAAATCTAAATAATTGAAAATGTTGCATTTTAAAAGAACATATCATTATGCAAAAATAAATATGTAGATATATTTTATTTAAAAAATATCATTTATTATTTCTAATTTAGAACCAGTATGAAGAGTGTATTCAATCATCTGCTCGCGGCTCTGTGTTTATCAGATCTCATTTTCCTCATTACAAATATTATTATTTGTGTATTAGGTAAAATATTATCGTTTTTAAAGGGAGTGTTCTCGAAAAATGAAAGGGGGTATAGGCATACAGTAAAAAATCACATAGTGATCGCTACTAATCTTACTTAAATCTGTTGCCTCTATAAGGAGAAAATGAAAAACGACTTAGACCGAAAAACGTAGCGTCCATATACAAAATTAGAAAGTTGCAATATTCAACTCAGATTGTAAAAAGATCAATTTAATTCCAAATAAATCATTTATCGATAGTATAGCCTATAATCATCGAATTTTATTCGACGCATTTGTATATAGTCGATATTTCATAGTATGTTTTATTTGTTTTATAATGCACTTGAAACGACTATTGTTTGTCCGCTAGGTGGCTCTCCCATGTGGAACCATGCAGAAACATCGAGAGCAGAGACACCTGGCGGCCAACAAAGCGTCGTTAAAATTGCATCATATGTAAAACAAATAAAAAATGTTATAAAAAAATAAGTATATAAGAATACGTCGAAAAAAATTCGATGATAATAGTTTGTAATATCTGAATTGATTTGTTTGGAATAAAAATGATTTTTTTTCGATTTGATTAAAATATTGCAACTTTCTGATTTTGTATGGACGCTACGTTCTTCGGTATGATTTGTTTTTAACAATTTTCTCCTTATAAACGCAGCAAATAGAAGTAAGATTTGTAGCGATCACCATCAAAATGTTTTCGATGTAAGCCTATACCCCATTCATTTTTTTCGAACACTCCCTTTGATAATAAAATTAGGTAAAATATTATTACTGTTAATAATATTGTTAGGTAAAATACTATTAATTTTGATAGTTATCAAAGCTGTTATTTTGATATTTGAGAGTACCCAGGTTGGACTGGAAATTTACCCTCGGCAGTTTTCCTCACTTGTCATTCAACTAAGGATGAAACTATTTTACACCATCAATATTTTATACAGAAGCAAAAAAGAAGAAAACATTTTAAAAAAATGAAAATGAAAAATTCAGTTATTAACGATTTAGAAATAAACAGAGATCATAAAGGAACGTCAATTTTTCAATTTTTTTCACAACATGTTGATATGGGTATATCAAAAGATGCGTCTTGTCTTTGTACTTTGTATATATTTGTCCGTTTTTCGATATTTCAAAAATTTCATGTAAGAATAAAAACTATTTTTTTTGTTTCTCTTACATTAGCGATTTGTTTTACACAAAAAAAGTGCAAATCTCCAAGACTTCGAAAATTGTGAAAAAAATTCTCAAATCTTTTTTAAACTATATTAAAGAAAACTTTAGAGCTAGTGCAAGGTGAATTTGACCATTTTTTTCTTCAAAACATGGATAATATAGTTTAATCCTATACTAACATGGATAATATAGTTTAATCCTATACTAACATGGCTAATATAGTTTAATCCTATACTAACATGGCTAATATAGTTTAATCCTATAATAACATGGATAATATAGTTTAATCCTATACTAACATGGATAATATAGTTTAATCCTATACTAACATGGATAATATAGTTTAATCCTATACTATCATAGATAATATAGTTTAATCCTATACTAACATGGATAATATAGTTTAATCCTATACTAACATGGATAATATAGTTTAATCCTATACTAACATGGATAATATAGTTAAATCCTATACTAACATGGATAATATAGTTTAATCCTATACTAACATGGATAATATAGTTTAATCCTATACTAACATGGATAATATAGTTTAATCCTATACTAACATGGATAATATAGTTTAATCCTATACTAACATGGATAATATAGTTTAATCTTATACTAACATGGATAATATAGTTTAATTATACTAACATGGATAATATAGTTTAATCCTATACTAACATGGATAATATAGTTTAATACTATACTAAGACCATTAGTTAGCACTTACATTTCATCCCTATACCTCCCTTTATATTCCTAACTTTATTGGATCTCACCGATCTCACCCCACCTTACCCAGCATACCCCTTCCCCCCATATTCCTTGACATACAGAGGTTTCCAATAAATATGATTCTTTTTATGAGTAAAGAAATATATACGTCGTTATATTCAAACATATTGTATTGATTGAATTATGATTATTAGAACAATAATTATAAAATACTTCCTGCATGACCTGGCATTTCCAGAATGCATTTTCTTAAATATGTTATTATTGTTATATTTTGGTAAACCAAAAGGGGAGGGGGTGACATACACCTGTGCGCCCTCCCCCTTAGTAACAGCCCTGAATTTTTGAAGATAACATAGAGGCATGATTTGTTTGGAAACTGTTTGTGTATTTTTTTTTTCAAACTTCGACATGAAATATCTATCACACATTTGAGATACAAATGAGAGATAACTTTTTATCTCTCATTTGTGTTTTTTTTTTGTGGGACACCCTCTATAATAATTTTTTTAAGGAATGTACAATGTATCTGCTACCGTGATGTCTATTAGTCGAATAGTGTGCCAGATAGCACTAGGTAATTAATAATATACCTCTAATTAAATTGTAAGAATAAAGTCTGTCAAATAACAGAAAAAAAGCGTTTATGTAGAATCCAACAGCCTATAATGTAAAATGGTTTTCTGAAGGAATAATTTAATAACAATAATAATAATAAGGTATAATTTAGTATAAAAATATTTCTGTTATATTAAATATTTTTCAGCAATGAGTATATTCATCACTATCGGGGTAACAATAGAGAGATATCAGGTAATAGGGGGGTGTAGAATTATTTATCAACCCTCCAGGGGAAACACAATTTGCAACCCACTGTTGCAGACTTTAGACATTTCAAACTATGAAATTTATGAGATCAAATAATCTCATTTTGAAATATGAGATTACAAAGATATAGGGAAAAAAAAATTGGGGTTTGTGGCAAAGACCCTTGTCAATTTTGGGCAAAAGTTAAGATTAGTTTTGGAGGATAATTTTAAATAAACTGTTTACCCTTAAAAGTTTTGTACGTTATCTATAAAAAAAGGTTAAAACAGGTTTAAACCAATCTCAACCAAAAAAAATTGTCACAATCAGTCCTGCAACAATTGAAAGATGAACAAACATAAGAGCACGAAAATTGAATTTGATAATTTATCCTATGTAGTTCTATGAAGAGATAAAAAGCTATTATCTAGATAAAAATCTTATCTACTTGATCTATGATAAAAATCGTATCTATTCTTTAAAGATGGTTTTTTGCTGCACAAATAATCATAAACGCTTTCTAGGTTGTGTGTTCAGCACATCTTTACCAGTCTAGGGTACAGGTAAAATTAATATACTTCTATCTTCATTAATTCAAATCAAAAGTTTTCATCAAAATTTTAATAAGTATACTCTGGCAAAATTTCAATAAGCATACTCTAGCAAAATTTTAATAAGTATACTCTAGCAAAATTTTAATAAGTATACTTTAGCAAAATTTTAATAAGTATTCTCTTGCAAAATTTTAATTAGTATACTCTAGCAAAATTATTATAAGTGTACTCTAGAAAATTTTAATAAGTATACTCTAGCAAAATTTGAATAAGTATTATTGCAAAATTTTAATAAGTATACTTTAGCAAGATTTTAATAAGTATGCTCTAGCAAAATTTTAATAAGTATACTCTAGCAAAATTTTAATAAGTATTATTGCAAAATTTTAATAAGTATACTCCAGCAAAATTTGAATAAGTATACTCTAGCAAAATTTTACTTTCCCAATAATTTTCAGAAATTTTAACCCAAAGTACCCATTCAGATTTTGAAAATGATTGGGCCTTGAAAACAACAAACACCGAACAAACATTATTCCTCCATACTTTGGTAATGTTAGTAATGTTAGATAATTGGGCACTGGAAGCTGTTGAGAATATACCTGATCCCCTCTCTTCTGGGAGCAGTGATGTTCAATATACCACTGATCATCTCAAATACTTCTATAGGAAGCAACCCTTCATATATCAGGTAAATATGGAGAAGATACCTTTTTAGTTTCCAATTTCCATATTTTTTTTCAGGTATTTTTTTACTTAAAAAGTGTTAGTGTCTAGTGCAAAGTTATGTTCTTACAATTTACTTTTGGTAGGTATAAGTAGTGCAGGTAAGTACAAAGAAAATTGTCTCCTGTCTTTAACTTGGAAATGTAAATTGAAAAGTTCAGGTTCCTACCTTAAAAAGAAAATGTTCGACTTTAAAGAGATACACTTTAAATTAATGATACGGTTTTTAACTTGAAAATGTTTACTGTCTACTGGAAATTGAAAGGTTCTACTTTAAAATTTCAGTTCTCAACAGGAAATTGGAAATATTCTAATGACAAAATAAAAATTTTCACCACAGACATTTTTTATGTTGTTTTCTTAAATTTTGTAAGATTTTATTGTTGAATGGAAACTTTTTGTTTGATCAAATTTAGAGGGTAGTGACCAATTGCTTCTCTCACCCCCCCCCCCTCTCATGCCTTTAAGAATTCAGAAAAGTTCTGAGATACAGGGTTGGGAAAAATAGTTCTTTCTTGCAATTTGGCTAACTGCAAGGACATCCAAAAAATTTGTTTCTTTTTATTTTCAAGATTAGCCGAAGTATGATTGAAGGATGGACGATCAGGAAGAAAAATTGGTGAACAAGAAATATAAAAATCTCCAAATATTTCCATCTGATATCATATAAAATTTGAAAATATTGTAATACTTAAGTAAAATAAACAATTAAAGTTAAGAATAAAATCTTGGAAAATTTTCAAAACAGAATTTAGGAATTTTAGATTAGGATTAGATTAAAAATATTTGATTTCAAACAAGCTTCAGATATTTGTAATTTTGATATAGTTCATAAATTTTTTTAAGTTGAAATATTTTGTTGAATACTTTTAATAATCAATTAAGAAACAAAATGAGGTGAAACAAAATCAGACTTTTGTATTTATTAAACCATTTAATTAAAGAAAATTTCAATAGAGTTGTTACACTGTATAGCTTAAAATGTCACATTTGAAGAAAATTTTAAATTCTAACTTAAAACTAATCAAAAACAGTCATAAACATAAAAAAATAGCTTATCTTGATTCACATAACTTGGGCATTGCATTTAAAAGTAAAAATTTTACAACTTTTTAGGTTTCAGATTATCTTTCAACTGTTCCATCCAATCACAACAACAGGTAAGAATAAAACTTTATTTTATTATTTTCTTTATTTGTAAAAGAAGAAAATTACTGGAAGTGTAGGTTTTAGAAAAAGTTTGCAGCAACAAATCACGTTATTTGGGGATCAATGCTTCATTCCTCAATAAAAGTTATCTCTACTAAAGATGGGCATCCTTTTTGTGAACAAACGAACAATGGTGTCATTTAGAAATAAATAAACAACTTGGATCCCTCAGAAAAGTGAAAAAAGATCATTTGTTACTAAACAAATGAATTTTCCAAAAGATTTTGAAAAAACTATACTTTTTACTGAACATACAATTTTACTGAACAAACAATTTTACTAAATGAACAATTTTAATGAACAAACAACTTTACTGGATGACTGTTCAGTGAAAAATTGAAAGTTAGAAATGGAAAATAAACAATATTTTGAGAACAAACAAAAACAATTGTTTTTACGTTTAAATAAAGGCGAACAAAATGGGTCATTCACAAACGATAAAAGACCTGAATGACCTAAATGAAAAAATTCAAACACTCCCATTTCTAATCTCTAATTATTTTATGACAATCATGGGACATCAAAGATGAATTAAATTAATCCACAGATCTGCGTAAGATGAAGATTAATAGACAATACTGAATAATTCCAAAATTCAGAAAACAAACTTTAAAAGTATAAGTTTTGGATAAATAAACAGAATATTTTTGCCAGAACAGTTCTTTTAAAACTATTTATTTTCTTAATACTTTTTAATAAAGATGTAATAAAAATTGTACATTTATTCTATTAGATTTTTAGTATTCCCATTATTTAATATTTCCCAAAAAATGTATCCAAACTAATTAAATAACTATCAAATTTACCAGTTGTCGACTCAGTATTTTTTATTTTCTGTCCATCCTATTTTTTATACCTTTTTTATGTCTTTGCAATTTCATCATCATAAGTTTCCTTTATGTTTTCAATTTACACTTGGAAAATATGAAAATATCAAAAAGAAAATGGTAGATATTGTTAGAAATCGATTTCTTCAATATCCTGGTAAAACTTCAAATTTTTGGTGGCTTAATATTAAGATATTTAGAAGTTTTTTTTCAGGGTACATTTTTTTTTTTTTTAGGTAAAAATTAATAAACAAGCTATGTATTAGAATTTAAAATTTTCTAAATTCAGTGAAAAAAAATCCATAACAGATTGCAAATTGATTTATTTGGGTAAAACAAATTGATTTCTGGAGGAGGGTGGTAATTTTTCTACAAAATATTTACCCTTTCTTTATTTTCTAGGTATCCTGCCTCTTCTAGTCCTGGGGATCTTGAATTACAAAATCTATAGAAGAATACCATCAGCTCATAAACCTCAAAATAGGGGCACATATAAAGCTCAGTTGCAGAACTACAATTCTGAACCTAAGAGGCTAAACCATGCTTCTGAACATAAGGGGCTAAACCATGCTCATGAACATAAGGGGCTAAACCATGCTCCTGAACATAAGGGGCTAAACCATGCTCCTGAACATCAGTGGCTAAACCATGCTCCTGAACATAAGGGGCTAAACCATGCTCCTGAACATCAGTGGCTAAACCATGCTCCTGAACATCAGTGGCTAAACCATGCTCCTGAACATCAGTGGCTAAACCATGCTCCTGAACATAAGGGGCTAAACCATGCTCCTGAACATCAGTGGCTAAACCGTGCTCCTGAACATAAGGGGCTAAACCATGCTCCTGAATCGAAGGGGCTACATCAAACTCCTGAACATAATGGTCTAAACCAAGCACCTGAACCTAAGGAGCTATACCCTGCACCTGAACCAAAGAGAACAAGCCAGGCTTTGATACCCAGTAGGCCGCACCAAGGTCCCATATCTAATGGACTAAATCAAGCACCTAAACCTGAGGGAACAAAGGCTGTTAATATATTTGAGGGGTTGGATCACACCTCTAAACCTGAGAAGCCAAATGGTACTCCAAAACCTACTGGGTCAACTCAAACTTTGAATCCTAAGGACCTTAATCATGCCCTTAAATCTAAGGGTCTAAACAATGCTCTAAATACATGGAGAAAAAACCCTACTTCTAAGACTGAGGGCCTAAAACCGCCTCCTAACCATCCAAAACTAAATGGTGCTCCTAAAACAGAGGGACTAAACAATGCTAAGGGAGCTGAGTGGGTAAAACATGCTTCTACCCCTAATGGGCTAAACCATGCTTCAAAACCTAAAAGACTAAACCATACTCCCCATCTGGAGGCCCCGAACTATGTTCCTAAAATTATAGATCTAAACCAAATCTCTGAATATGAGAAGCTAAACGAAACTTCAGAACACTACAGGCAAGGCCATACGCTAAAACTTCATTTAAACCCTACTCCGGTCCCTAAACCTGAGGAGCTAAATCAAGGTTTGAAACCTAGTGAGCTTAACCAAAGTGTTAAACTTGAGAAGAAAAACAAATATCTGAAATCTAAGAAACGAATGGCTTGCAAAAGTTTGACTCTAACCTGTGAAAATATAAACCTGGGGTCATCGTCTAAACAAATGATTTCTAGGAACCCTACTATTTACAACATTATCAAAAAAAATTTGAAATTAAAAGCTTTACTTTTTTGACTGATAATTTTCAGCTGAAACTTTCATTCATTTTCCTAAATTCAGTTTTAAAAACTACAAAACACATTCAAAGCATAATTGGGGGGTGGGGGAGGTCGAACAAGGTAATTTTTCAACCAAAGTCTTATATCCATCCATGCATGGGGAGTATAAAAAAGATAAAATATTTGTGAAATTTTCAATACCAAGATTTAACAAATTAATTCCCAGTTCTTGAATAGTATGACACAAATTTAGGATTGCTAAAATGAGACTGAAGGAAACCCCCACGGTGCTGAACAAGAAAAACAATTCTCAGCTTAGCAATAGTCCAGTTGAAACTGGTAAGAATTAAAATCATTCTAAACTTGTGTTTACTTTAACGGATTGCAGACAAAATTTTAAGTCACGCTCTATTTGACAAAGACGAATAATACCGGTACAATCGGACAGTACTTTTGGAGAGTCGCTTGAAGTTAAGCCTACAGTCCTTTGAATGTGAAAAACCATTTTCAAGGAAGTAAGATCGTTGTTTTTTAAACAATTGTAAATTTTTGGAGTTCATTAAAAATTTTGGTATTTCTGAATTTGAAATTCTGACAAATCATTTTAAGTTGGGAATCATCATTATGCACTTTATAGATATTATAGGATTTTTGGATTTTAGGAGGCTTCACAAAAATCTATGAAGTATGAAGTTATTTAAAATTGTATCATTGGTTAGATGCCTGTACCTAGATATATTGGATTTGCCTGTACCTGGATATATTGGATATATGCCTGTACCAAAGAAAATTATTGCTCGTTAAGAAAAAATTGTCTGTGCTTATTAAATTCTGTCAGAATAAAGATTTTGCATAAGTAATGAAAGAAAACTTTTAGAGAATACAATTTTTAAATATGTTAAGCTTCTCATATTTTTCCTTAAAATCCTGATTATTTTTAAGACGAATAATAGATATGCCCTTCTTCCATCTTTTTTTATGGTTTCATATCTAAAGTTAAAAAAATTTGTTTTCCTCATTTTGAAAGAGAACCAGATCCCAAAAATACTTAAATCCGATAGAGCCAATATTGGCCACCCCTTAGTTTTACAAATTTATTAAAAAATTTTGCAATTGAATCCTGTAACATTTACTTTCTCAGAATTACACTGACAGTTCCTTTAATATTAAGATGTTTTATACACTGTACACTGTACACTGTATACTGTACAGTGTACACTGTACACTGTACACTGTACACTGAACATATTCTACAGGAGACCGCACAGGTCAAGGTCTACAGTTTGCTACTGAAGAAATCAAGTTTGAAGATTATGAAAGAATAGAAGTAATTAACACACAATCTGTGGTGAATCCAAAATCAAGGAATACAATTCAACAAAAATTAAATTGTTAAAATAAGTCTTCCTCATTTTTTGTGTTTTTTTTTTCTAAAGAACGATTTGTGGTTGGCTTGTAGCCCCAACAGTCAATACTATTATGATTTCTAAGAGAGGGTTTTAACAAAAACCATGGAGATAGAAATATATTTCTCTTTATCAATTTTTCCAGATCTATATGTGTTATGCGAGCCATGCTGCGTTCATAAAGTCTATGTGATGCCCCTGTGAATCTCTGAGTTCTCCCTGAGGATCTGTACAGAACGTATTGTAAAAAACTAGTTTTAGAAGCTGTTTCCAGTCCGAATACGCATGCGCAAGTTTTCTGCGTGGAAGCGGGCAGATTCTACCTTAGTATATATTCGTGTTTCATGTAAAGATCGTCTATTATTAAACCGTGTGAAATTCTAGGATCACTGCGGTAATTATGCTTATATTTATATGAATCTTGCTTATTTATGTTCGGTTATGGTTGATATCGTATAATGTAATGTATTGGTTCCTTGCCACAGTTTTTTAATGCCTGAGTGGATTTATTGCTGTGTTTGTATGATTTATCACTCGATGCTTTTTCTGTGGGCTTTTAAAAGATTATTTAGATTGAAGACTCAGAGAAATAAACGTTCGGAACCTTATTATCATCCCTTTGTTATGGAGAGCGTTGAGAGAAGGAAGTCTTACAATCCTGTCCAGAGAAATACCACTCGGTACTTATAAAGATTTCATTAGGTCTATAGGGAATCGCTAAGTAGCGAAACAATATGTACAATCCTAATAGCAACTTTTATCACAATTTCTGAATCCAACTTGTTTCTGATATTTTTGAGAAACATAACTATAAAGAAAAACTAGATAATTGGAATATAATTTGCTAGTTCTGCAGTTACAAGAAAAACCTTTCGGCTCCATTAAAAATAGACAGTACGTACATTTACCGTTACACTATCTATCTTTCCAAATTTAAAATTCGGTGATGGTATGGAGCAAACCTCTGTAGAGTAAAAAAGTAGATGTTAGTTCCACATTTATTGAAAATATATTTCGTTCTGGGTTGACCCTCGTCAGTTCTATAATAACCATCAAAATCGATAAAAAAAATTTAAAAATGTAAAAAATCACAAGAAGATAAACAAACAAAAAAGATTATTCAAAATAAAAATTTTGGCTTTCAAATGGACATAAGGGAAAGGAACTCAGATTATGAGATGGAAAAAAGATAATTTACAAATATTCACTTTTAAAAAATGTTTTAAGACAATTATTATTCCTTGAGATTGTTTCTTCACAAAGAACAAACAAAAACCACAGAGATCCACAAAAGATTAAACTTTTCCGACGACCTAAACCTTCTTTAACATTGAATGTGGTTAGCAACCTTGAAAATAGATTTTAACAAATTGGTTAATTTGAATCCATCATGGGTTTGATGGAGCAGTGGTTAACGTGTTTGATCCATAATCTAAGGATTCAAGGTTCAAGCTCCGTCAACTGCAAAAATCAAAAACTGATAGAAATTCAGTCATACTGGTCTGATGGCGGTCTGTTTCTCAAAAAGTTAGAGGTCTAAATTTTCAAAAATTGAACAGTAAACATTTTTAATGAAAGAAATAAAAATGAATAAAGCGTAAAAATGAAAGTAAATGTAGTATTGTAGAGGATATGAAATCCCCGAAAGAGGATTAGGAAATCCGCAAATCAGTTGTGTCGGACCCTGGAACCGGAGAAGACCTTCTCAACTTCCTCTCCTTTTATACACTCTTTATTTAATATGTATTTATATCTAAAAGCAATGTTCTAGAGAAGGTTTGGGACCACGGAAGAAGTTTACTTGAAGTACGAGAATCTAAATACATCAGAGATTTTATGACTGAACTCAGAGGAATGAACAGAAAAAAATAGTTTTATTTAATTGTTAACTGTAATTCAGTAAATTTTTTAAAAAAAGAGTTTTTTATGTCCAATTCTTTAAAAGGTTTAAATACCCCTCCTTAAACAAGCCGTTCCCCCCCCCTCCCCCTCCCCTGACTCACGCAAAAGTTCGTTAATTAGATCGACCCCCACCCAAACTCTATATTCACACATCTACACAGTTTGTTTTTAATCTTTGTGAAGAAACAATCTCAAGGAATAATAATTGTCTTAAAACATTTTTTTAGAAAGTGAATATTTGCAAATTATCTTTTTTCCATCTCATAATCTGAGTTCTTTTCCCTTATGTCCATTTGACAGCCCAAATTTTTATTTTGAATAATCTTTTTGTTTGTTTATCTTCTTGTGATTTTTACATTTTTTTATTTTTTTTTTATCGATTTTGATGGTTATTATATCGTTAGAACTGACGAGGGTCAACCCAGACCGAAATATATTTTCAATAAATGTGGAACTAACATCTACTTTTTTACTCTACAGAGGTTTGGTCCATCACCATCACTGAATTTTAAAGTATATACTTTATGTAATTTGAGTTGTCTTTTTATTTTATAGTTTTTTGGGATACAAAGACGATAATTGTCTAAGCTGAATCTTGGAAACATATTCATTAGTTGGACAAAATGTCGTCTTTCTTTTTGTATTTGACACTTGTGACGTTGTGCGCAGTTGGTTGATTTTTCTGTTGCCATCTATTGAGCTTGACAATCTAGTTAATTTAACTAAGTACAACAACATGTAATCAAAACAAAAACAAACAAATTCTTAACAGAAGCAGACTAAAACATTTTTTCTAGTAGGCACCATGCACCATGCACTAAAAATAATTTATATTTCACTTCACGTAATTCCCTTGTTTACTGGGACACCCTGTACACGATCTAAATTTAGACGCACCTATGAAACGGCACTATATTCACATATCGAAAAAGCACATTTATAACGCACATGTGACGCACATAAAAGTTCTAAGAAGAAATCCTAGTAATAAAACTTTGAAAGGTTTCTATTAAAACTTTTCGAAAAAACAAAAACTATCTAAATATGTACAACTATTATTTGCTGATAAGATTCGAATGACACGGTGGACTAGGGTCCATTTGAGTTTGAACAGGACCGACCACTTGTACTGGCCTTAGTGATACGTAGAAGTACCAGTCCAACCCTTTCCTATGTCAGCTTGGTTTCAGTTTTGGTGGAATAGCCAGACTTGTCCTGTTCATAAGCCTATTTAATCCACACACTAGCGTAGTTTAGTGTGATTTAGATGTCTATATCACACATTCATATGTTCACACTGTTGTGCTGCTTAATATCTTTCTGTCTTGTTTCACTCTTGACCCTTGATACGCTTTAATCCTTTAACTGATCACGCTAGGATTCTTTTGATATCTGCAAAACACTTGTAATTATTAATTAACTCTAGTGTTTAAATTATTATCTTCTAGGAGTCACAAAATACACAAAATTCTTCAGCGACAATGATCAATTTAAGGTTTCATGTGGTACCGTTATAAATATTCGTACATTCTATATCTGTATTGATACAATTTTAGTCATTTTTCATTTCTGTTTCTAGTTCAAAATCAGTCGAACATGGCGAAGTAGACTTCATATACATAATTTTTTATTTCATATAGGTCAACAAAAACGTGTAGAATAGAAAATAGAAGAAAAATTCTTCATTTAAGTGGTGAAAATATGTTAAGTGTCCCTAACTATCCCAGGAACCCAAGTTTACCATAGAATGTCTGTCCTTCATCAAATTTTGTTTAATAATTTTCTCATTAGAAAAACAGGAAATGTAAATGAGATGGATGTAGAGGATATTGAATAAATTTCTGCTTATATCCCTCTGATTTGGTTCTACACTGCAGGGGCTAATCTCCTCACGTCAAACTAAAGTATATTGTATGTTATATGTTTTTAATCATTATTCTCCACTTATTTAAAAGTTATTGAGAAGAATAAAGATGTTTTAATTTCTAATATTTGTAAACAGGCTTTTGTCATATTTATGCGTAAATCAAAACTAGATTGGCTATGAGGTCTCAAAGTTATACCAGTAATGTTGCAACATTTTGATCCTCTCTTTCTGTCTAGTTGGCAGTGTACTTATATTATTTATTGAATGTATGTGTTAACAGAAACAAGAATAGAGCATTGATGAGAAAACTCTACCAACATCAGGTAGCTAGGAAATATAATAATAATAATAATAATAATAATAATAATAATAATAATAATAATAATAATAATAATAATAATACTATATAATAATAATAAATAGCTGAAGGGCCTGCCGTTGCCCGTGGAAAAAAATAAAAAAGTTTTGAAAAAACTAATGATATTAATAATAATAATTTTCTCATTTAAGAACACCATGTCAGTTCGACCCCGTCGCCGGCATGCTGGAGAGTTTCGAATGGCGCAGCTTTGTATTGTTCTTGTTCTTGTATTCCTTGTTATGAATTCACCCCGTCTAGCTATTGGCACATATGAGGTAGGATATGTATAACACGTTTAACAAAATGTACATACGGGTTACCCACAAAGGATGAGATTAAATGGCTTAGTTAATGATTTAACAAAGAACAAATCTTTTAGCTGCATAAAGATAAATTCCATACAGTCGTCTCCGAAGTCTCATCCTTTGTGGGTAACCCTGTATATCAACCTTATAAACAAAGTGAGTATGACAATACAATATACATTTACATCGTGTACATAAACATATACAACATATCCAGTTTAATAACAAAACATGCAAAATGCACAATCTCTATTTTAATTTGTCTCTCTGTTTGTATCTGCAAGCCCAGGAAAGGTGAATGAACGGTTAAATAAGAAGGTTTTACCGATGGAATAAATGAAGATTTATTTTTTATTTTTGAGATCTATCAATGTCTAAGAAAAAATCCGCTACATTTTTAGTTTAACTATTACGAAGAGAAAAAAGCCGCTTGAAAAGCAACATTTAAACCCTTAAAATCTTGTTAGAAGATGGTCGCAAAGCGCTTTGAAAGCCTTGACTATATAAAAATCATGTTAAAAAAATTGCACCGCGTTATTTACATTACAACACAATATTTCATTTTAGGAATTCTCCGCGCATTTTCAACAGGATTTCCGCAAATAATTTTGATTGATTGATGATACCCGTTGGTTTTATGTAATAACATTTAGAAACCCTCCGATATGGTGAAGATGACTTGAGTTATCCATAGATAAATAAATAAACATAGATAGCTTATGTACGCAAAATCACCAAGAATTGTACAGTCCGCGAACTCATACTTCAAGGGTCAAAGTGTACTTCAATGATAAGCGCCAAGCGGGGTGGTAACTTAAATTTCTCTCTACAGAACTCATGTACACCACAATTACTCAATGACATAAGAACAGCCAATGTTCACAACCGACCTAGTTAATCTATATAATAGGAATATCTTTAAGACATATATGTACATTTATATCTTTCAAGATGAAAAATGTCGTCTTTTGCGCAATCTATCTTTATCTATGGAGTTATCTCAAGGTTATAATTATAACCTTGAGTTATCTAGTCTAATTTATCTAGGGAAATAATTTAAAATTAATCCAGGTAATTAAGCTTGACAAGATTATGAGCTGTTTCTCTCAAGGAGAATATTATATGCCATCAACCTTCCAGTGGGTCATGGATACCATTTCACAGGTAATTCACGGTAAACTAAAGGGCCTTGGTAAAAGTCTAATGAGTCTGAACTTTTCAGTTAAGCAAGTAATCACACAAAGGGGCTGAGTTCTTGCCAAAAACTCAAATGTGATATTTCCTTTATTTTTGCAACCATAAGGTGTAAACTGTAAACCTTTGATAATCAAACTTAAACTTAGATCTAAAACCATTTATTGATCAAAATATCAAGTTCTACGACATTTGGTTGCTAAGATATAGGGATTATAAATACTAGAGTTCGTGGCAAGAATTCAGTAACTTCAGACATTAAACTATGTTAAGTTTAAAAAACATTTCGAACAAGGCTTTAATTAAGAAAATTATTAAATATAAGTTAATGACATTATTTCTTTCCATTACACAAAATCTTAAATTACTATATGGAATATTTCTTTAATAAAAATCCCACTTTGAACTTTTAAAACATATTAACGTCATGCATTAAAAGTAGTTTTGCAGTTAAGAAACTTAAAACTAACTTTATGGAATTGGTGCACTACAACATTTGCGATTCTAAAATTGCATCCTTTGCATGTTGAGTCACTTACAATTACGCTTACAGTCCCTTTAAAATGTCATATTTCAGTATGCTGCTGTTCTAAACTGTACCCTGAACTTTGTTATCTACTGCCTAATGGGATCCAAGTTCAGGAATGCCCTGAGAGAAACGCTCAGGTTTAAATCTGCACAGTCCAACAATCGTGAGTGCACTATCTGCTAAGGGAGAAGAACTGTGTATAATCGCACAATTCTCACTTTATTTCAGATAATATTAAAATGACCCAACAATCATATTATCTTTGTGTGTTGATTTGAATGGTTCAATTGTGCCCCGATCACGTTGAAGGCACGCACAACCGGTGTACGTTTGAATTTGAGCTGGGCCAACCTTTGCGGTCCTACTTTGGACTGTCCCGCCTGGACATACTTTGGCTAACCATGGTGAACTATGGTTAACACAGTCTGAATTCAGGCTGCTTCTTGGTTGAATTTTACTAAAACAGCAGCTTTGTGTGAAGAAACTATGCGCAATGCTGAGAATATGAGTTTTTGACGTCATTTGTGGTTCGGACAAAAACGTGAGTGGTGTACTTTCCCTCCCTGGCGCACTAAACCTAACCAAACAGATAGATGACCGCGCACAAAGCGGCGAACCATCTAGAGACTATACCTTGAATAGTGCAGAATGAAACAATGCATTACGAATAGTGCAGACGAATTCAGCTGCTGCATTTAAGTGACAGAGCTATCTAAAACATATCATTGACATAAACAACAACTGTGGGACTAATCTTTTCTTAACTTTAAACATATATCATATGTGAAAACACGCACAAAAAATATTTAAACCTAAAAACGCATTAATAGAACATACAAGATAGGATTCCAGGTGCATCCGACCTACAAAATTGTTGTGCATCCACCCTACAAATGTGTGTGCAACGAGAACAGCGAGATCCTTATTGTAGCACTGCAACACATACTGTAAAGATCTGCAGTTCCTGCGTAGGTCGGATTAACAAAATAGAATGTACTTCCGATATTGCAGTTAGTCCAAAGTATCGTAAGACGGAACGGAAGTACTGCAGGACGGAAATGCTGTAGGACCGAAGTTACAGGGTGTCCCACGAAACATGACAGTATGCAGGACGTCTTGAATGTCGTCTTGATTTTTTATATAATTTGCTGCGTTTATTTGTCAACCTAATTTTAGAAGTAAATTTCTAGAGATAATATTCAAAAAATTTCCCTTGTCCTACCATTTCCAAAATGTGGTCTGCCTTTTTTGTGCTTTCAATATTGCCCGAGATATGAAGAATTTCGTTCAGATTTCGACAATTTTGCTTTTATTTAACAAAATTGAAATCTGAACCAAACTCTTTATATCTCCGGTAATATTGAAAGCACAAAAAACGCAGACCACTTTTTGGAAATGCCAGGGCTAGGAGAATTATGTGATAATTGTTTCAAGAATCAAACATGTTAAAGTAGATACAAGACTAAATGTCACAAATAAATTCAAATACCAAAGACGACTTCCAAGTCGTCTTGCAATTGTCATGTTTCGTGGGACACCCTGTACATTCCCCGCTACACTCCTGAGTAAAGGCGTGCTTAACCATTTTCTCATGAGTATACGCGACAAAGAAATAAAATTGGTAAAGTGATAAATTTCGAATTCAATTAAATATCAGCCTATGCTCCATTTCATTTTTTGCGAACACTCCCTTTAACTTTAGTTCATTCTGTTACTGCAGCATTTACTTTTTGTGAACACTCCCTTTACAAAACATGTTATGCCAATCCTCTTCGTTTTCCTTGAATTGTGAAGGTTCTCCGAAATTGATTGAAAGCAAAAACATTTCTTGATTACGATTTTGAAATGAAATAAAAATTTAATAAATATTTTCTTCACAATTCACTAATGAGACAATATATCCGGGAAAATTAGAACCGGAACTCGACAATCATAACATTTAGGACAAAATCGATAACAAAAGCTTTATTTCCTAAAAAATAACATAAATTATAGGTCATGGTTACTTGTACAATGTTATAATAAACATTAATAATAGAAAAAATCTTACGATTTATTTAGGTATGATAGAGGGGAAACTTATTGTTGATCAGTATTGAAATACGTTTTTAAACTTCTGAAAAAAAATACAGTTGAATATTTAACGAAATTCACTAATGCTTCCTATGAAAATATTCTTGCTTAACTTTAATGATTTCACAATAAACAAAAATGTTTTAAGCTCCGTGGGACGGAGTACAAAGAGAAGAGAATGCGGGCTGAAATTATTTGGTTTGGTTTTCTCCAATGATTTTAAGTTGAAGACGACATTACCCGGAGGTCTTAAAGTTAATGGTTAACAAGAGTGTTTAATATTTACATAAATATACTTGTTTGTTTGTTTGTTTGTTACCAGTACTTCAAATCACAAGAAGGACACACGTTTCAACATGGTCCGAGTGATGTTATTTTTGGCCGTCGGTCGACACGGTAGAAAAATATCAAGTACGTCAGCGTAATTTCAAGTGATCCTCCATGCATAGATTACAATGCCTGATTTACAATGGTACCCTTGAAACCTTTGTCTGATCAATAATGTTAATGTTCTATATAAGGTTAACAAAGTTTAATTCTGATAAATTGTAAGTCTATATACCTGCAGTAGAAATGCGCATATCACTTTGGTAGTGAAACCACAATTGAAAATGATCATTTTCAAAATTAAAAACATTTATATCATATTCATACTTAATCAGATTTGCAGGAAGGATCACTTGAATAAACGCCTTTAAGCAATAAAAATACTTGTATTCATAATCTGTAATTTAGGAAAGGTACTATTGTTGTAATTGCAAGTGACCCTCCATTTAGAAAAAGGGTACGCCCGATCCCCAAGGGATATCCTTTAAACCGTTATCTAATCAATTTGATGTAAAAACTGTTTAAATCTGACAATTAAGTCCATGGATTCTTATAGAGAAACAAAAATTTCATGAAGAAAAACATATGGATCCTTATCAATTCTTCATCGAACAAAGATATTTTACATATCAAATCTATATATGTGTTTTTATCCCCCGTTACATTTTTTGTTTATTTTATAATAAACTTTGTCAACAGTTTTTATCATAAAATTAAACGATGTTTGAGGATTTAAAGAAAAGCTGAAAATGACACATTTTTTCTTTAATTAAAAATTTCCTTTCACTTTGAAGCAAGGATGTTTATTAAGGTTAGATACTCTGGACGCGCTCCAATGTAAGGAAAATGTCATTTTCATATCAACAGACTTTCAAAATCTTCACGTAACTGCTAGTGACCATGTTGTTGTTGTTGGTAAGGATTTTCTCCGCTTTTACAGATTAGGATCGTCCATTTTTATGAAGACGACATTTTCCGTACATTGGAGTGTTAAACCTTAATAAACAACCTTGCTTGCTTAAATGTCATATATTTCCCCTAAATCTGTGAAAATAAGTGTTGACGAAAATTATTTAAAGAATATATATAATATCCCTGTGAGAAACCCTGGAGATATATGTGATAAAACGTAAAAATGTTTTAAAAGATTTAAAATTAAAAATAACCTAAAAATAAAATTTGTAGATTTGTGAAGTACCCTTTCAAGTAACAAGGAAGGAGGGGCATCCGGCCGTGAGCCCAGCAATTCGAGCCCAGCTGTAGTTAGCAAAACCCTTCCCGAACCTCGCGGAATTCTTTTTAGCCCAGCAAAAGACTAAAACTTTTATTGATAATTGACTTAAAAAAGAAAAAAATATTAATGCTTTAAAACTCTTTGTCAGTGTAAAATGTTGTCTTCTTATATTTAGCAAATACTTTAGATGGAATGTTCGCAGTGATGAATAGGAAATACTTAAAATCTTGCAGGTAAATGTATATTGCAACTTATTTTTTTTCATTCAAACCGTTCAACATTATAAAAAAATGTTTACTGTTTCCATGTTACCATTTAAAAGTTGTATAAAATAAAGAAAATCTAAAGCCTGAAAACTGATGTGAGTAAATCTACAGAGTATAGGAAAAAATGTATTTGCAAGTAAAAAATGAACAAATAAAATTATACTAATGAATCATGGAACGCCGGAGCTCTCTGGCAGACTCTCGATCCGCATTTCATTCGCCTCGTACGGCAAGTTGATTTTCCGCCTTCCGACCCTTTTTCATCACTGACTCCATTTCGGTTTTAGCCCAGGCTCATCCTTTTTTTCTCCTTCTAAGCCGTGTTTCATGCCTATTGACTTATTTAAACTAGGATCTGGGGCAATGGTAGCTTCGGTTTTCCAAGTGGTTAAACATGTGCTCAAAGCATGTTTTATGGGTTGGCATTTTCTAACCACAAATGTTTCTCCACGTTGGCAACTTATCATCCTCCTCACTTTCTGTCCCACCTATAGCTATATACAAAAAAGCTAATATGTTGTCTTGTTTATAGGCCAAACTACTTGCAATCCAAGCTTAGCTCCCATGGTCCGAGAAATGAAGGGGTTACACAATGGATCTATCCAACCTGAGTTTAGCTACGGTTGGAGAACAGAACAGAGGGGGTTATATCAATGGAATTATTCCTATTCCGAGCTATTGAGCTCTCACCAGTTCAGTAAATTAAGAATTATAAAAGAATTATAACTAACATATACTTTCGACGCATGTTTTGTATGAATGGTGTATGGTTTAAATGATAAATAATACGTTCCAATGTACATTTACATGCAAGATTTTATATATCACCAATTCATCACTGCGAACATTCCATCTAAATTGTTAAATCTAAGAAGACAAAATTTTACAACAAAAAAGGGTTTTAAAGCATTGATTTTTATTTTTAAGCTAAGAGGAGTATGTTTATAATTCCCCCATGTTTTAAATTTTTGACATTTTTTCTGCTTAAATTCAATTGACAATGAAATTTTTTTTGAGCAGTCTTTTGCTGGGATTTCGCTAACTACCTGGGTTCGAACACGACATTGCGGGGCTCATGACGACATGGCCCCCCCTCCTCCCTCAAGTAACTTTAATTCCGGATTGTGATAAAATACATTTATATATGTATTTATATATTATTTATGTACATTATATTCATTTTATGTTGTAATAAATAATTTAATTATACAATGATCAAATTATTTTAAACATATAGATATCAAAATGTGAGACAATTGTCAATTATCAATAGCATGCCTGAAAAAATTCTTTAATACATATACAAACCAAGAGTTATAAATTAGCTCTGCTGTATGAGCTGGGGAAGGCAAGCGGCCATAAGCCACAGCATTTTCCCCGTCCATGCCACGTATTATCTGTTTCGTCTTCCGGCAGCCATGAGCTACAACCGTATGGTCTTCCATGCCACAGCATTTAAGTCTTCCGGTAGTTATTAGGTTTTTAAATGATAAATTTAGGACATTAAAATTGCAATTTTTTAAAATCCTGCTGCATTACGAGAAAGATCATACATTATAGAAATTTTAGAAGTTTATTAAAGATCAATTAATTGTGTTCAGTTTATAAACTGCTTTGGATGACAAAAAGAAAAATTTTCATAAATTTACGCATTGTGGGAACCAAGACAAATTGTTAGGAGGAGTCTGAAGAATAAGAAAAGATGAGAGAAATCACAATATTAACTGTTATTACCTCAGCCTTACGGATTTTCTCAAAAAATTTGCAATTTCCTCTGTAAATTGTGGCAATATTCGGTTTAAAGTTTAAGAGTATGTTATCAATTTGTTTTCAAAAATAAGCCATTTTAGAGGAAAGATTGAATCTATTTTTGGGGAAAATAATTACAAGGAAACGTCATTATTTCAATTTGAAGCTGAAATATAGAGTTCTTCATCTTTTGCATGACGTCGCTGGATTATTGAGAAGCACAATTTCAATGCATTAATTTATTAATTAAAAACGTAATAACTGCCGGAAGACTCAAAGGCTGTGGTCAAGGGCGGTTTCAGGATTTAAGACAGTGGTAGGAGGGGGTAGATAATATCTATGAGCGGAGCGTGAATTTTTTTTACCCCCCCCCCTGTAATTGTATAAAAAAAATTAACCGCCTCTATTGCTAAAAAGTTCTATTTACTTAACTAAAATTACAGTTTCTTTTACCTGCAAGGCAATATCTTAATAATCCTTTTATTTGTCTTATAACGTTATAAAAAAAATATGGATTTACCTTAATACATTAACATCATACATATCATACAGGGTGTCCCAAAAACATGGGAATTCAGTGACAAATTCGATATCATCTTTGCTATGCATTAGCATTGTAAATTGTAATACCTAATTTCAAAACCCATTTTATTATGTCTGCTAGAGTTTATTTTATAAAAAAGTGTACAAGACTGTAAAGATGTGTATATAATGTCTCCGCAAGATGAACGGTGAAGACGGACAAGTTTACTCTGTTTGTATACTGCAATTTTCTTGTTTTACTAAGTACAACCGTATGCAGTCTAAACATAAACAAACAAAATGTGAACATAGCAGACTAAACTCTTACAGATTACAGCTTTCTCAGTATTTTCTGTACAAAAGTGACTTGCGCATTTCAAGTGCAGAAAACATTAGAAATTATAAAAAATCAAAACTTAAAACTAGATTATACACAATATTAACAGATAAATGTTTTAAGGATTATCGGAGTCATCTTTGCATTGATGGTCACTTAACATTACGCTTAAAGTCCTTAAAGTTAAGAAAATATTCTTATTCAAATCACTGTTTGAGATGAAACACGCAAGAACATAATATAAAAAACAGTTAAATTAGTCATTTATTCAAAAGTCAATAAATAAAACCATTCCACTTAATAACTATATAAAACTATTTAAAATATACATAATCTTAACAAAAATAAACAATTGAGATAATTTTCCGCCACCTGCTTTGTAACATTTATAAAAGCCCCTTTAAAAAGTAATTTCATTTTCATCACAAAAAATAGATTTTCTAAAATATTTTAATTGAAGATAAGAATCAAAATCGATATGTAACATTTTTTATCACAATTTGAGACAGTATCAAGGTTAACAATATATTGAAATGCATCTTAAAAATAAAATTACGCCAGAACCGAATACCTTAAAAATTCACAAGATATCTTTGCATTAAATTCTAGTGAATACTTCCGAAAAAGAACGATTTTGCTGATACAATAATGAATATTTTTATGGTTATTTCACTGATAAATTATTATTTCATCTTGAATCTAAAGTCTTTTTACAATATTTAGACGTAACAAGTTTAACAATACTGAATAATTCACGGGTTTTGCCGCCTAGTTTTCACAGCTAGAATGTATTCTTTTATAGTCTATTAAACCCGGCTTAGATCATAGTATATTGAACCCGGCTGTACTGCTGTCGGTGTATCATTGTCAGAGCTGGGTCTGTTGAACCCGGCTATAGTGTGGGTGAAATATCGTCTGAGTCCCCCGTTCTGCGTGTGCTATATCGTCTGATCTATTCAATTAAACCCAACTATGGTTTTGCGGATGAAATATCGTTTGAACTAAATATATTGAACCCGGCTGTAGTTCTGCTGGTGAAATATCGACTGAACTATGTCTATTGAACTATGGTTCTGCCGACGAAACATCGTCTGATCTACGTCTATTAAGCCCGACTATAGTTCTGCAGAATTGTCTTGGTCTGAACTACGTTTATTGAACCAGGCTAACAGAGCAGCTAGAGCACCTATTCCAAGGGCAACTATCACATACTTTAAACCAGAACTGGGAACAGGCTCAGAGTTCTAAAAACATCTCATTATTTTCTCCAGTGGTTCTTTTAGAGGGACTGCAGACGTAATTTCAAATGACCCTAAATTTGAAGATTTAAAATGGTTCCCTTTAAACCTACGTGAGAACAAAAACTAGAAATATGTAATTGTTTTTTTTCAACCGAAATTGATAATCCTAAATTCATAGTAGTTTCTCTAAACAAATGATTCGCGGGTTTATGCAACCACAGATAATAAAAATCACCAGAATTCAATCCTTTTTAAGATATAAAAACTACGATATCTTCCTCAATGAAACCAAGGTAGAGGTTTAAAGGGTATCGCAATCAATCTTTAATATAATAATCTTTACTTGAAATTACGTTTCCAATCCTAACTTTGCTGCAATTGGTACTCCAAAAGATATTGTTTTGTGTACACACCATCCATATTCAAGGGATACGTGGCTTGCAAAAGTTTACTGTATTGATATACCGGCCATTTGTAACAATTCGCTTTCTTGGATCTCTCAAGATGTTTCTAGAAACTAAAAAAGCAGGAAATTTGTTTTAATTAAAAAAGATTAACATCAATTACTTTGGCATTTTGGTGTAGGATAACAACATTTTTCTTCGTTAACAGGCCGGCTAGGAGTTTTTTTTTTATTAATTCAACATTACCTTCAACAAAATTTTTAATTCAATATTAATATTTATCCTTAAAAAATGCTCTCAGCTCGCCTTCTTTTAAAACTTCTGGTGATTTCTTAAATAATTGCCCGCAATGCTGCTTTTGCAAAAAGTGTCATATGAATCCGAGCTAACCAAATATCAGCACTAGATAAAAAAATAGCTGACCCACCCTTTTAAAACCTGTCAAAATTCGACATTTGAAAATTTTGAGGTTTTCTTTAAACAACGCTCAAAGATTTTTTCACCCAAAAGACACGACTGACTTAAAACTTAAACTTCTTGTAAAAAGCACAAAAATTATGATTGTATCCAAGCATAAACAAAATCATGCCTATAGCTGCAATTATCATTCCAACCACTTTAGGGTGAGCTCAGAGTCATTTTTTTTAACCATTTGATTTAAATTCTAAAGCGACCTCTTGGTTAAATGTTTGTATTACATGACCCGTCATGCACCCCATAGTGGGTGGTTTATGAAAAACTCAACTTTATGACAAAATTACTAGGTCAGGACGGTTTTACCTTTTCCTTCTCCGGTTTGACCTCTTTAGCTGCAGCTACTAACTCAAGGTCGTCTTCTATATCCTCCTCCTGGACTCCGAACCCAAATATCTCCTAGATAAACAAATTCATTTCTTCAATAGTTTTTCTTAAAAATTGTTAAATTTCGCCAATTTCATTCTTTGTTTCAGCTGCATATACCCGCAAGTTTCATTTGCGGAGAAAAATAATCAGATAAAAACAAGGAGAAAATGTAAACATGATTTATGTTCAGCCGATGGTTTAAAGAGGTCTTCTCATACGGGGAGGTACGCTCTATATGTAATATTTTAAAACAGAATGAGAGGTACTTATCAAATTTATATTTAGTGGAGTTTACTACTTTTTCTTTAAATATAGACAAACCAACATCCGAGTGTTTGGATGTCATGAGTAACCCCCTGATGATCGTTTTGTGGTCGCGTGTTTTTTATTGATAAGCCATATAAATAATAAGCGCAGTAAAGCCTAAAACATTAAGAGTAACGGCAAAATCCTGCAGTTTCTGCATTACATCAGTTTTTGTAAACAAACGGCCAATTTTTCTGATTACTTGATAAAATTTGAATTTAGAAACCTGTCAAACCCATAGCATGCAATTGAGTGTTCTTAACAAAGTCTGCAAAAAAAATTGAGAAATTCTATTATTTTCGCTTGACACATTTAAATATGAATGAACGTAGTTTAAAGCGACCCACCATGCTAAGATATTTTAAATTTCAAAAACTGATTTTTTCCATTGTGGCTAATCTTCACAAGTGACTTCATTTCTTCTGCAAGAAAACATACAGAAATTATCAGAATTAAACACAAACCTAGAAAAACGACAATATCTTCCACATCTTTTATCAGAGTAAGGTTTCAAGGGTACCGTTATAAATCGGACATTGCAGTCTTACACGTAGGTTCACTTATAATTACGCATCAAGTCTTCCCTTTATTTGTTTTTAATAGTTCTGTGTACATTTCATTTTTGATGAAAAGTAAAAAACAATCAGCGCACTTCAAAGAAAAAAAAAACAATGAGACAAAAACCAGGAAGAAAACCACCTTTGTCAAAATAAATTCCTAAAAAAATGTATTGCTTTTCTCGTCGGGTTTTATAAGGAAACATAAGGAAGTGAAGAGGTCCCATTGTGGACCCCCTAGACCGCCCAGGCAGCAGGGTGCACTGCCCCGCCCCTGTTCTAACTAGACCTTTAAATCCCCATCATTTAGTCCAAATCTAGAGAGATAAAGTAGATACATTCCAGTCAGTTTAATACAAGGCTTTTAGGGTCCTTCTATCTGGGAACATCTTTGTACTTAATAAAACAATAACAAAAAAGTACGCGGATTTCATAACTTATTTCCAAAATATTTTGGAGGCTAATTTTTGACCCGGCTGTTTTGACGTTTATTGGACACAAACGGACAGACAAACAGACAGCTAAGCAAAGTATATATATAACTCTTGTATAATGAAAAATAATTAAACTCTTGTATAATGAAAAATAATTGAACTCTTGTATAATGAAAAACATTAAATACAATTTTAGAAAACAAAATGAAGCAACTGATATTCTCAGATTTTGTAAACAAATCTATATAATCTAAATATGAAAAAGTTTCACAATATTTGATTCAATAAAATTTAAATGAAATATAAATAAAATATTCTTCTATTGAAATTTTTTGGTTGCTTTAATATGTGTTACAAATAGGGTTGTTAAGCGTTTTTTAAAACGATCAAAAAACGATAGTATTTAGATCTGAGGGGTTCCCGACTAAAATTGTATTTTATCGGTAAAAAATGATCATTGTTAACGAATGATAAAGAAAGGTCGTCGTTAACGATCGTTTTCGATAGTCAAAAATTAAAAACGACCTTTCTTTCTTAACAAAACTACAAACTAAAACTTAAAAAACGACTTCTTCGTTTAATAATCTTCAAAAACGATTTTTTAAAACAATCGTTTTTAAAAGAGACCGTATAGTTTTTCGTTTATTGTTCATAATTAACAAAACGATACGGTCGTTTTTCTTTAAAAAGTGAAAATTATCCTTCCCTAGTTACAATACAGTTATAAACACAAAACAGCTGTTATAAACATATAGAACAAGGATACACATCGAAAACAAGGACAAACAGAAAAATAAAGGAAAAACAGATAGAGCAAGGATAAACAGATAGATCAAGGATAAACAGATATATCTAGGATAAACAAATAGAACATGGATAAACTGGATAAACAGAAAGATCATGGATAAACAGAAAGATCATGGATAAACAGAAATATCAAGGATTAATAGATAGATCAAGGATAAATAGAAAAATCAAGGATAAAAAGATAGAGCCAGAATAAACAGATAGATCAAGGATAAACAGATAGATCAAGGAAAAACAGATAGATCAAGGAAAAACAGAAAGATCAAGGATAAACAGAAAGATCAAGGAAAAATAGATAGATCAAGGATAAACAGATAGATCAAGGATAAACAGATAGATCAAGGAAAAACAAATAGATCAAGGAAAAACAGAAAGATCAAGGATAAACAGAAAGATCAAGGAAAAACAGATAGATCAAGGATAAACAGATAGATCAAGGATAAACAGATAGATCAAGGATAAACAGATAGAACAAGGATAAACAGATAGAGAAAGGTTAAACAGATAAATCAAGGATAAACAGATGGATCAAGGATAAACAGATAGATCAAGGATAAACAGAAAGATCAAGGATAAACAGATAGATCAAGGATAAACAGATAGAACAACGATAAACAGATAGAATATGGATAAACAGCTAGATCAAGGATAATAAACAGATAGGACATGAATAACCAGATAGAACAAGGATAAACAGATGCATACAATGAGCAGATTTTTTGTACAATTTGATAAATCCGAAAGACCTAATATTTGAATAGTCCTAGATAATACAGACAGGATAAAAACTATTATTAGATTAGGAGCCAATTAGCCTTGGCCATTTGTTTCTTAATTTACAATCTCCTTATGTTTTCAGAAATTATTAATATTTACCTTAATGGATTCAATAGCATCCTCTCCCCCCTCCCCTGGATATAGGTAATCAGATATACAGATCTGAGTTCCTGGTAGGTTGGTAAACACCCGCCTAGTAAATATAAAGTGTCAACTTTTTTTCAACTGGGGTTTTCCCAAATTATTCGAAGTACATATTACAAATCCAAGAAAAAACGCTGACAAAATGATCGAAGAGTCCAAAACAACTAAAAATTAACATTTGAACTGAGAATTTCCTCAAACTTAAACTTGCCAACTCCTACATTTTTACAGCCTGATGTTGTAAACCCTTGATATTTTAAAGATGTAGATGTAGCAGTATTCTAATAACTTTGCATCGCGCTTTCTTTTTCAATTTTTAACTTTCTGTTCAAATTTGTAATCTTGCCATGTACAATATCCTTCCTTTTCAAATTGCATCAAATAACCACGAGCAATCTACTACGGAGAATTTGAAACCCTGCTTCTTATAAATTATGAATAATGATGCTAATACCTTTTTAATTTTCCCAGGATAAATTAAATATAAAAAATAAACTTCGGCCAAAATTTGCACGAAAACGTGGTGCGTCAAGCGCCCAAAATTTTCATTTAATTGTTGACAATCTTCCCTAGGTGGTTCATGTACAATAGGACCATCTCCTGCCTCTCCTTCACCACCCTCCTCTCCTACCAGAGAATCACAGTGCAGTAATATTCGTCCTCTGAACAAAATAAGGATTTTATTATTTGTTTATTTGGCCAAATACTAGCACAATAATTAAGTCATCCTCCCCCCTTCATTCATCTTTAGTAACATCTTTAGTCTAGGTTGGTTTAAAGATTTGTATAGACGGGAAGGACAGGTTACAGGAGAGCACTAATATAGGGAATTAGGCAAAAATTTTTACCAAGTCTTAGAAATACATTATATATTTATGAAGTAAACATCTCTTGTTTGTCCTTGTTTGTGTTTGTCCGATCATAACTGTGACCGATTTGAATCAAATATTGTTTTGGGAACTCGGTATAATTACGGAAATATTTAAATTTGGTTTCAAAATCAAAGAAGGAAAATATAGTTTAAAGGCAAACCTGAGTTCCCAAGCTAGTGTAATATATAATGCTAGCTTGGGAACCCGTTGCTGCCCAGGTTACTTAATGTTACTCTCGCCGTTTACTCGCACTTGGACTATTTTTCCGGGAAACTAATTTTTTACTTTAAAAGTCGACCCACTCAACTTAAATCTCAAAACCAAACTAAGAACATTTCGCGATTCTCCTGAGTTCCCCAAATAAAATTTGAGGCAAATCCTTCAAGGAATCAGTTATGATCGGACAAACAAACAGACAAAAAGAGATTACAACTTTTTATATATAGATATCCGAAAATATGCTTGTTTGTTTATGTTTAATATTGAATAATTTCATTCTTTTGAGTAATTGTTAAAGCTTATATTTTTTTGTTTATATTATTTTTTATACAAATAACAGGTTTCATGAGCTGATATCTTCCCTCCTAGAGATAATGTTATCATTGATAAACCTTTTAAAACTTTTAATCCATGCTAAGAGTGATTAAATCTTAAACTTTTTCTTCAGCTTTTGAAGGCAATTTCTAAGAAAATTAAACATTGAAAGTGCGCAATAAAATATATATAAACAATTAAAATGCTTAAATGTGACATTTCCTTCATCGTTTCTACTGCAAAGGTCTCCTTTATATTTTTATATTAATGATTTATATATTAATAATATAATATTATATTAAATAGAGGGTCAACTTAAATTTCGTTGACAACTCTTCAAAATTATTCATTTGATACTATAAAATCATGGAATTATATTTATTCATTGATTCAGTCAAGGTTACACAATACACATGATATTATCAGGAATTTCTAAATAGAAATAGAAAACACACAATATCAGATGCGGAAATAAATTACATTTAGGAACTAGCTAAAGTGCTATACAGGGTATTTTAGAGTGATATGTTAGTTTTTAAATCAATGCATGCGGTAATTTTAAAATCTACACATATATGGTTATAAAAAACCTAGAGATAACAATCTCATTAAAGGGACTGTTAACGTAATTTTAAGTGACCCTCCATAAAAAACTGCAATGCCCGATTTACAATAGTACCTTTGGTATCTAACTACGATCAAAAATGTGGAAGATACCGTCGTTTTTCTGACTCAGAAAAGTGTTATTTCTGTGAGTTTCTCCATTGCTTCTGTTTAGCAAGAAATGCGCTAGTCACTTACGGAGAGATACCGCAAATGGAAATTAACAGTTTAAAGAAACAAACACATTGATTTCTCAATCATATACTTGATCAGACAAAGCTTTAAGGGTACCGTTGTAAATCTGGAATTGTCATCTTTGGATTGAGGGTGACTTAAAATTACACTTACAGTCCCTTTAAATAAAGATTCTTTATCAGAAACACGTGCGCAATAAAAACAAAACAAAAACCACAATTAAGTATAAACACGTCAGCTGAAATATGAGAAAAGCTGAGGATTAAAGTGGTATTTAAAAAATGAGCGCACATGTTATTTAGATATCACATATGCGGTTATTAAAATTGAGCGCACATGTTATTTTTAAGACCAATGCATGTGGTATTGTAAAATATCGAATATGTGTTTCTGTGTGTACACATTTAATGTGAAGGAGAAGACATTTACCGNGGGGGGGAGTATTTGATCTAACTTTAATTTAAATGATATTGGCTGTTTTTGCTAAAACCATTTCTAAATTTAAACTACCTTAGTGATCTCATGATGTCCTGCAGTACGGCATGTTTACATTGTTCCAATGATGTTCCATGAGGCACACAAGCTCTACTCTTCAGCTTCCCTTTTAAAATTCATGTAACGGTGAATTTCTGTAGAAAAATTAAATGATAGAAAGTAGTTGAACCGCGTAGGCGCAGCTGAACCACATATCTTCAACTTAAAACCACAAACTAGGATAATGATTCCACGTTTACATGGTTCAACTACTGCTTGCTAATATTCATTAAATCTTGCCCTTGAACTGATAAACTAAGAAGTAATTCAACTACAGATAAGAGTGAGTTTAACTAGACTGATCTAGTCCAACTACTTCTCTATTTATTCCGGCCAAATTTTGATATTTTTAAATGCGAACTCACCTGCTAGCTTTATTCTCACATTATTGTTGCCTATGTCTACATCCTCCTTAACGTTTGGATCATCCTACAAAAATATAATTGCAAACATTAAATTAGTCCTGGAGTAAAGTAAGATAAAATAAAAGTTCAAGAAAATATATGTGGGTGAACTCAACATAATGGATCAACTCAAGAGAGCCATAAAATAATGTTTACAATGAATGTTAACTTGAAATTTGAAGACCGTCCCTTTCAATTCTTTCTTTCAATGTTCAATATTTTTCAAATGTAGCATCTGCTGGAGTTTTACAATTCTTCAGAAAAGAATGTTTAACGGTGAAGAGAGCTAAATATAATAAATTCTATATTAAATCTTATAATCAAAAGAAAAGTAAAATATAAAAGAAAATTTTTGGTTACGTTCCAGCGGAGGTTCTATATATATATTCTCATGAAATAAATGTTTGCATATATTATGCATAAAAAACTATGCATCCTATGCAGCCTTATTTAGGCATATATGTGTATAGATTTTCTTATATGAGTATATGCATCTGTGCTTTGCATGCATCCTATGCAACCGTATATAAACTTGTATATATTTTCTTATACAAGTCTATGCTATGCATGCATCCTATACAGCTGTATATAAACTTGTATATATTTTCTTATATACGTCTATGCTATGCATGCATCCTCTACAGCTGTATATAAACTTGTATATATTTTCTTATATAAGTCTATGCTATACATGCATCCTATGCAACCGTATATAAACTTTTATATATTTTCTTATATAAGTCTATGCTATACATGTATCCTATGCAACCGTATATAAACTTGTATATATTTTCATATATAAGTCTATGCTATACATGCATTCTATACAGCTGTATATAAACTTGTATATATTTTCTTATATAAGTCTATGCTATGCATGCATCATATGCAGCCATATAAAAACTTGTATATATTTTCTTAAGTTAAATAAGTTCAATATATATAGATCAAATGACATAAAAGATTGAATATTTTATGCATATATAACTATGCAGTATGTATCCCTATGCTTAAAAATAAATATTCTTCTATGGTCTGATATTCGACCTCTAATGAATTCCCAGAATTATAATTAGTTCACCTACGGACACAGAATGCATTAACAGTTTTAAATTCAAAATAACCATTTGTTTGTCCAATAGGATGTCCAATTCACCCTTTAAACCTTTGTTTGTCCAATAGGATGTCCGATTCAGCCTTTAAACCTTTGCTTGTCCAGTAGCATGTTCGATTCACCCTATAAACCTTTGCCTGGTCAAGAATGAATGAGATGTCCTTATTGTTCCAGGTGAGAATTGATTATTTCCAAATGTAGTTTCTGTCTAAAAACTACTTTCGCCAGTCTCTCTTGGTAATACTTATCTAGAGGTTTAAAAGGTACAACTGTGAATCGGACATGTTACTCTTCAATAGAAGGTCCCTTAAAATTACGTCTACAGTCCCTTTAATAGCGCCGTATGCAGAAAGCATTTTAAGTTCTCTAATTTTTTTTCTTTGATCTAAGTCTGAAAAGATGAAATATTCTTTTTAACTTTCTGTAAGAAGATAAAATACAATTCTCTACAACTTTTTTCCTTTAATCTTGCATCGGTGGATAATTGGTTCGATTAATTGGAAAAATAACTTTTCTTTACAAAAATTAAGGTTTTCTTAAATCCTGAAGGAAATGATTTTCTATCTCACGTTACAAGATTAGGTCTAGTGTAAGTTTTATTTACCATGTAACAAAAAGGATGGAAGCACTCAGGCTTTTACTATTCTTAATTTTTTTGTCAACGATATATTTCTGGAGGAAGATAAAATTTAAACTTCAAATAGTCATAATTAAATAGTGTGGTGAAATAACTGTTTGCCAATAGATAAAAAATGTACAAGAAAATTTAAAAAAAGGGAAAAAGGCATGAATACAAAGCACTAATAGAGTTACACAAGCATCAACAAGTAGTTTGAAATTCAAATAATTTAGATAATTCAAATAATTCTGATGTGGTCTATTTTGTACAAACTGTATAAATACATTTACTTACTTTCATTTATTAGTTTTATGAAATTCCAATATACATTAATGTAGATTCTCAAATATAATAAGAAATAAAATAATATTTTTCCCTAATTAGCCTTTTTATTATTATTTATTAGGAGTGTAAAATTTAATTATGTAAATCATTCTAATAAAATAGATTCATATGAGTTCTGTTAGTATTTTAATGGCATTAAAATCTACAAGAAAAAATTCTTAATAATGTTAGATGTTGAAAAAGGCAATTTGGATAATCCTTCTCCATAAAAAATAATCATCCAACTTCAATACAAGCAAGGTTAAGAAACTTGAAAGCAACTTTTTCATTTCAACAAAAATTTTGCGGATATTTCTGATTTAATAAATAAAAAATCGTCGATGTCGACGTTTTAATTTCCACCAGTTTTATCCACTTCACTCGGGTCATACGATTTGCCAAAAATTGGTTGACTTATATTTGACACAAGTACACAGACAAACATAAAAAAATATATTTAATTATTTTGTTACCTTAACAAGTACTTGAACATCGAACTTGATTTGTTGACCTTCCTCATCATCCTAATGTAAATTCAAAATAAATGTTTTGTGATATATCCTACAATAAAAACCAAAAAACAGTAGAATTCTGAAATTCTGAAATGTCGCGAAGTATTTTGTTATTTGCAACTGCAACATTTCTAAAAAAGTAGAAGTTTTCCAATTGCAACGGTAAATTACGAAATCAAAAGCGACATTTTAAAAAAAGCAATAACAAATACTACATTCATTCAATAGAATTCTAAAAATCAGTTGTATCTGTACAGTGACGAGACTTCAAAGACGACTGCACTAATTTTTTCAGTCTTTACCTTACATTTATGGTTTCCAGCAAACTTAAATTATTCTTTTCAAAAATATTCATTAAAAAATAATACTTTCAAAGCATAAGCTCAAATTCCAAATTATAATCTAGGAATAACCGTGTACTTGCAATGCTATGCCTAAGGCCCTAAGTGTCGGTCCTGTCGGACCCCATAGTACTAGAAATGATTAGGGGACATATCCCTCAAATTTAAAGTTGTCACGCAAAAACATATACTATTCAAATATCAAGCATTGTATATTATTGCTATTTCAACAAATTTTCACTCTTAAGGATAGACCATAATAAAAAATAAGCTTCAAAGGTGTATATTTTTCAGAATTAAAATGAAAAAATGAACTTGCAAGTTTTTCTATGTCGAAAAAAAAAACGTTATGAAACATATTCATGGTTAATTGAACATTAAGACAATTAAATAATCTGGCTAAATATTACCTCATCTTTAGGTTTCCCTTTACTCCTCTTCTTGGTATCAAATTGGGCGGGACAAATCGGCTCCTCCCCTTTCATTATACCATGATTTACCAGACAAACTCCAGTCCGCAGTGTTCGCTCAAACTTTTCCACACCTAATTTAAAAAAAAGGAAATATTTTGAAAATTTTGTTAAAATAGACAAATCTAGATCTTCGAAAATAAACAGCTTGTATACATAATTTAACATATATCATTTAAGTTTTCGATAGATATCTTACGAAATCTTGCGCAAAATTTCGATTAAAAAATAGGACAAATTTTATTTTCGCAAAATTTGAATCAATTGCAAAAATAGATTCAGAATTGCATAATTAACCCTAAATTACAATGTCTACACATTTGTACATACATTTTTAGAGTAAAATATTGTAACTATCATAAATTTGAACTGTAAGCGTAATTTCATGTATGTTTTTTTTTATGTAAACTGTTTCTTTTCATTTGTGGTTTCTCTGCAAAAGTGTCTGAAGCATTTCTTGCATTTAAGAAAAAAAAAGAAATTCAGAAAAAAACAGTAAAAAATCTAATTTGTCAATCTCCATTCTTACATTGAATACATCTTTAAACTATATAAACCTGTTTCTTTTACATCTTAAGTTTTATAAGTTTACAAATTAATCTGAACTTGAGAAAAATATTCATATATTCTCATATTAAAAGTTCAAACAAAATTAACCAGAAAAGGAAAATGATTTAAAATATTAGCTAAATTGAAAACTCTAAATATTAAGTGGAAGGAAAAATATTTTTTAGATTAAAGGGACTGTCCACGTTATTTTAAGAGACCCTTCTTTTCATTTATAAAACTGTAGGTTAACTAATAATTAAATGAAAACAACAATGATTTTTTTCCTTATTTGCAACTTTTATTTTAATAAGAAATGTACGTTAAAAGTACGCCTAGCTCTAAAGTCTCTTTTAGAAGGAAAACGACTTGAATATTCAGAAAATTAAGTTTGCTTAGGATTACAAAATATACCTTTAGCAGCTTGAGAGAATAACATCTGGGTTGAATTCTCTCCGCATGTAATGGCTACTGGGATATCTAGGATACAGTGAGTATCCAGTAATACATAATCAATACTCTGCTCAGTAACCTGGGAAACATTAAATTAAAATTACTCTAGGGGTTTATATTTTAGTATAAAACACATCCCCCTTTTAAAAATAATATTTTCTGAAGTATATTTGGAAGAGTGGTCGTTTTTTACTTTTTTTTTACTTAGCCCTAAGATGTCATGTGCCAAATTTCAGACTCATGGGTCTAAGATCCGAGACCACAATTTTTTTCGCGCTTGCATTATGGAGTAAAATAAATAAATTTTTGGTACAATCAGTAAAAAAGGGAGGGGAAAACTCTCAAAATCCTCAAAATTTATTTCTTTTTTTAATATTAATTTTGTAACAGGTTCAGCATATACTTTTAAATAAATCCAGGGAGAAAGTTACGATTTTTGGAGAATGTGGAAATAATATTTGACAAAATATATACCCCTGTCTTACAGGTGATAGTGGGGATATTTAGAGAATTTAAAAAAAAATTTTGCACAATTTTAACTTTAAAAAAGTTCTTGATGGAAATAAGATAATAATTTATCTACGGAGCACGAATCCTTGGATTTACCACAGGGGATTATACTTAAAAGGGGATGGTGGAGTTGGCACATTTGATGTAGGGGGGGGGGGGCTGCCTTCATTTTTGGTTCAAATCTTCCAATTTTTTGGCTGCACGCCTAATTAGTGATCGAAATTCCTAAAATAAAATAAAATAGAATTTGAATGACCTGTAATGACCTCCACAAATAGAAAATACTTCAACTATGGCTTAATGCATATCAAAC